GTTTACTTTTGTTGACTCACATTCGTAACCCAAGTAAACTGAATTACTGAATTGTTTTACTAATACTCACAGGGAAGACTTCATTTTTCTTACTGTGTTTCTTGCTAATACCTGTCAGAATAACTAATCGAATTGACTTTTCATAATCTATTCTGCCTCTGCAAAGCCATGTTCTTTCTCCTCTTTGATTTACTATCTGAAACATACCAAAGATGACCTGAAGCTTTAGTGAATTTAAATCCCATATGAACTGTGTCAGCATGTGTATTTTGCCTTTACGCACAAGAAGAGCTTTTTCTGACGGCTTCTTTCATAGGAGGGGATGCGGCAAACCAAGCAGCCTGCAGAGCGCCCTCTAGTGAAAGGCCACGGCTGCAGTCTTCCGACTCGGTTATGCTCCGACGGGTTTAGGGATAAACAGCCTCCTCTTCCTGAATCCTGCACAAAACATCTTAAGACTAACTCCCAATGCAACAGATTTCTTGACAACTAATCACAGCGACCTGGTTGCATTGCTGATACTCTATTAAAATTCCAAGTCAGCTTATTAGTGTATGCATTTCTTCAGTGAATAAAAACAAGAAATTCGCATTAAAGCAGCAACAAAGCTGGAAACCAGCAAGATGATGAGGCGCTGAGACCTGGAAAACTCACCTTTAAGTTGCTATCAGAGGAACGAAAACCCCCAAATCTGGAGGTCATTCGAGGTAGCAACAACCTCTCTCCAATAAAAGACGAAAATGCCACATTTGCAGATATTGACCAAGACAAAAGAGTGAAGTTATGTTTTTTAAACATGTTCCATCTAAGAGGCCATTTTCATATGACAATTCCTTAGCATCATGAGAAATTTAAGTAAATGTAAGGTTTCACTCTGTGTGTGCCTGTTTCCATGAAAGACTGGAGAATACCAATGAGTATTTTTTTAAGTGAGAAGTATAATATTTCCTTTTTTTTTTTTGAGAAGTATAATATTTCTTACACCAATATTGTGGTTCATGTCTGTTTCCATAGGAAAAGGTAAACAGACCTAGGAAATTCAATGCAAATATAAAGAGGACTAAACGTGCCAACCCTAGTGATCAATATGGCTGTCTTTGGCTCTGTGCTGTTTTGAAATGATCAGGCTGCATTGAATGGTAAGTAGGATTTCTTTTCAAAGGGAAAGTTCCAAAGTAGATTTATTATCATGACTTCACTTGAGCGTCCTGAAGAAAACAGAAATAGTTTAAAGAAAATATTGAATGTGGCTTTCAAATTCCCTAAATGAATCAACATGTGGAGGAAAAATGTCTGATGTTGAATATGAAGGTCATATTCCTTCTTGACCCTTCAGCTAGGAGCCAAGTTCAGGCAGGTACTTATAATTTCCCAGCTCCTCCAGGTGGATGACCACTCCCTCTTACCTATTACTCAACCTAGCATAAGTTTAAGTAATTTCATAAGTTACTGAAAGGGAAACATTGGACTCTGACCTTGCAAAGTAAATAATTCTTCGAGTTTATAGAGCATAGGAATTTCCAGAGGAAATCCTCAGCCCCTCCCCCTGGGTGGACCCAGACATGCACAGCAATGCATTTCAGTCCTGTGTTTCCTACAGACCAACCAAAGTCAGATACCTAGAAGTAAGACACTTCTTGGTTCCTTCCATATCTATGAACTACGGCCACTGCCTGCATTCTGTTGTTACAGTGTCAAGTATGTTTAGAAAAAGTGTTCTGCATCTGGGTCAGACCAACTCTGCAGCACTGCCTCAAGTCTGAAGGCCACAACTTAAGAAGAGATACTGAGTAACTGGCGTACATCCAAGGAATGTGGTCAAGATTCTCAAAGTAATGTCAAATAGCGAAAGATTGAAAAAGAACCGGAGATGTCTAGTTTGAAAAACACAGACTGTCTTATATTTCTCTCATTGCCATTTTATAAAAAAAGACTTATTTTGTGTATGTAAGGCTTATTTTTTTTTGGATATAAAAGGCAAGTAGATTTCAGTTCCATATAAGAAAGTACTTTCTCATAATTAGAATATACTGCCTTGTCAGAGATACGGGTCCCTTCCCTGAAAGAATTCCCAGCCACCATCTGTTAGCAATACTTTAGAAGATGATTTCTGACTGAAATAAAAGCTTGGACTCCTAACCTCAAAGGCAGCTTGAAATTCCAGGTTCCTAATAGTCATTATATTTTGTTAGTTCTTTTTTAAAAATTTGCATGAGAATTCCGAATCATTTCTGGAGTCAATAATTTCTTCTAAAGCAGCTCAGTAAGACAAAGACACTTGATTTGATCCCAGTGAGTATGATTCCCATTACCCTCCAGATGGAGTAATAGATAAAATCCAGAAAGCATGGACATCAATGTTTGACTTAAGTTCAAATCTCTACTCCACATACAGAGGAAAGTGGGTGGGGAAAGGGAAGGACAAAAAGTTCAGTGTGTGCCATCTGTATACAAGTAAAGACACCTGACACATCTCTTTTTAAAATCTTTTTATTTTAATATAACTGTGGATTCATGTTCAGTCATAAGAAATAATATAAAGACATCTCTTGTAGCCTTTACACATTGCATACCTTTTTGTATAATGTTATTTTCTTATAATGTTAGGCATTGTTGGCAGATTTTTTTTCCCTCCATCCGATGTACTGATGCCAAAAGAGGAAATGGTAAATGTTGCTGAAACCACTGAGAACTTGGATCCCTTAAGACCTGTGAAGTCACCCTTGGTTTTTCCCTTTAGCCTGACACATCTCAGTCCCTGGTGAGTCTTCCTGTCTAGATAATGCCTGCCTTCTGCTTTGTGAAAAGCAGAGCCCTGTGTGCAGAGGCTGAACCTCTTGAATTCTTGGGAAATGGCAGTGTTGTGGCTCATTGAAAAAGAACACGGTTTTGTTGAATGTGGTAATATTCCAATTTCTGTTGATTAGATCAATTGATATTCCAGTGCAAAGGTGATGTAGCATGTTTTCTTTCCTCCAAAAACAATTAATCTGTATTGACTGAGTTCCGGGGGAAATATATCCTACGATATATCTGAGATTGGTCTCATCACAGTTGGAGGCTTTTGTGTGGAAAATTCTCTATTTAGCAATTACATGCAATGAGAAAACTTGGAATACATCAGTGATTCAGTAACTCAGAAGCCATGAAGAGCGCGATAAAAGCCAGAGGGTCAACCCCGGCCAGGATTTGTCATATACACCAAACCAGTACTTCCCCCGCAAATGGCTACTCAACAAAATCTTGTGAGAAGCTTTAAAAAATACAGATTTCTGCACCAAATGCACCCCGACCAACCCCTGAGGGTCAAGGCAGGGCCAGGGAAACAGTACTTTCTCTAAAGCTTCACAGGGGTTTGATGGACAGCCAGGGCTGAGGACTGCTGCTCTGAGTCAGCAGACTTCATGATGAGTGTGCACTCCTGTTAGGAAAGAGAAAATGAACATGTTCCCTCCACCCACATGTTCAGCATTTTCCAATTACTCTTATTTTTAAATCATTTTTTACAATGATAATGAGGAATTCCAGTTTTTCAAATTACTTCCTGGAAATTGTCTAGTTGGAAGTATCAGTATGCCAATTTCATGGACGACGGTGACTCTAACTCATCACAAATGTGAAAAAAGAAAAAATGCTATACCCCACTGCCGGAATAATTCAGTTGTGTTAAAAACTCTTATCAGTGTCAACATCTTCCAGCGTATCTGGCAGGTGGTGAAGGTGGCTGGCAAGCGGGGTGCCTGCCCAGATACACATTTGCAGTGATGAAACCAAGAACTCGCTCACAGAAATAGTTTAAAGAAAATATTGAATGTGGCTTTCAAATTCCCTAAATGAATCAACATGTGGAGGAAAAATGTCTGATGTTGAATATGAAGGTCATATTCCTTCTTGACCCCTGACAAACTCCTTTGCACCAGCACAAATCCCACCCCAAACGCTATCACTCTTTTTGTATATCAGGACTTTCCCTTTAAAGCCAATGTAAGGTTTAGGAGTCAAATCTCTGGTACTAAGAGCATCAACACATTTTTTAATTGAACCCTTTCTAATATGGAGCTATTTCACACTGTAGCAGTAAAATTAAACACTGTCACTGTCTGTTCTTTAATAGCTTACAAGTATTTTATAGTCAAGCTAGGATTTCAAGAAATATCCCTTTAGTCTTTGACTGTGAAACAATCTGCATACAATTTTTTTTTACTCCCTCTTCACTTCATGGACTATTTATAACTATGCCTAAAGAGACAGACTCAAAATGAACATAAATTGTGCATAAACTTAAAAGAACATTAAGCTCAGGCAAAAAGGTTACTTAGTCTGTATCATGCCACGCTGAATAAAATGGTTTTCTCAACAACTCAGAAAGGATGGAGCCTACAGGAATGTGTGTAGGGGGTTCATGGAAGGTCCCCTGGGGAGGAGTGTCCATTCAAGGAAGAGGGTGCACTTTAAGATGTGACTCATCAGATACAGAATAGAGGACATGGTGGAACAATCAGTAGGGGCCATACCTGTCACATGCCCAAAGGCCCTAGCCTCAAATTGATTAACCCCGAGGGTGAAGTGTGAGGTATGACAGCCGCTGTGCTCAAAGTGCATCCGGGGCCAGGAGCATCAGCATCACCTGGAAAACCATTAGAAATGCACATTCCCAGGCCCCACTTCAGATCTTCTGAATCAGAAGCTCTGGGTTTGAGGCCAAGCTGCTTGCGTTTAACAAGCTCTCCAGGTGATTCTGACGCGCACCCAGGTTTGAGGGCCGCTGTATTACAGGAGAAGATATGGGCAGATATTGTCTGTCCTCCGGCTGTTACGAATCAAAACCTCTCCCACCCACGCCCCCGCCTTGCGTGCTTTTCTCTCCTCGAGACCCCTCTCCCTTCTCTTACATCCTCTTCTCCCCTCCCCGCCCCCCGTACACAAACGTGCGCACGCGCCCCGCCGTGCCCCACTGCACACCTGTAGAGTAGTCAAAGAACTGGAAACCAGCCCTCATCTTCTGTTTTCGTGGAGAGTTTATTTCATTACGTGTGCACGGCGCTGAGGCAGGGGCGGAATTTCAACAATCCCCAGTGAAGGAGGACAGCACCACATATTTATCACATTATACTGTTGTGTATTTACCCCTTACCGCTTTTGAGGCATTTGCATATAATCTTTCATAATTCAGTTCACTTGTTTAAATCTTTTCTTTTCTTTTCACTTATTTACTCTGATGGGAAAGCTCATTTCACAGATCACTGGGGCCTCCCAGTGGCGATCTTTGGTAATCTCAGACTCGGGGTTTATTCCAGGAGCTTTGAGGGACCGGTATCCAAAGCCTTACTTAGCTCTTCACCTCGTTGGTGGAAGCGTAAGACAGAATCGGAGCAGGCTTTTCGTTTGGGCTGAAGTTTCCTCAGATGCTGACTTCGGCTTCCTGCGTTCTCAGGCTCCGCGTTGCGTCCGCTGCCCAGAGGGATGTCAGCCAGCGGGCTGGGTCTCTGCTGGTCCGTGTGAACACCAACCAGGAGTATGTGCGGTAAATAAAGGGCCTCTGGGGAGAAACTTACCCTGCCATTCCTTTTCCTCAGTAACCTTGAGGTTTCCCCCCTAGAGTTTCCACTCCCAGCATCCTGCCTTTGAAGTTGTGCCCCCCACCCCCACCCTGGGTGGCCACGTCCTGCCAGCAGCCTTGGCGACAGCGTTCTCCCTCCTCTCGGTTCTGGAACATTCCGTGTCCCGGCCCACGTCGCTCCCAGCGGCGACGGGCAGGGTCCTCCGAGCCGGGCGCCCCGACAGCTGCCCGGTCCTGACGTCCCCGGCCGCCCCGCCCGCATCGCCTTACATCCCGTCATTGGTCCAGGCCTCCCGCCAGGGCGTGAGGCTTACTCGGCCTATCGACCTCCCGGAACCGAGGTGACTGTCATCGGATGAACCTCGGGCTGACAGACACCAAAGGCCGTTTCCACTTGGCCAAGCACTTTGCTGCGGCGCCCCTGGTGTCCTCCCCGTCCCCCCGGCCCGGTCCCTGTGCCTCTGCGTGCGCTTCCGAAGGCCACGCTGCCTGAGTCAGGTCTGCCCTCGCCTTGAAAGGTTGCTGAAGGGTGGTTTCCTAGAACCCGAGTGCTCACATCACCCCACGGCTTAGGTCCGTGCTGATGCAGTGAGCGCCACCACCTAGCAACAGCCCTGTAAACACCAGCATCCCGGGCAGATCGGATGATGCTTTAAAGTTCAGCCCCGCCCCCTTGGCCTTTCCTGCTGAAAAGTCATCTGAGGGCATCCACTGGCTCCACTTCATTCCGCCTGAGCTGTTTCAAGATCACTGCAGAGCTTTAAATTAATCAATCTAACTTTTGTTCACTATTCCTTGCAAAGAAAAATGTTAAGTCTTTGCTGGGTGTGTACATACATTTATACACACTCACTGCGTGATCTATGAAAAGGCGTTCACAATGCAGGTGCACCTCCCATTTGTGCTCTGGAGGCCAATAAAGACAATATTCACTAAACTAGATTGCTCTGAATTAGCTAGAATAAACTCAAATTCAGGATTTTGTCTTGCAGGGCTCAGAGTGGAAAATGGACACAGGGTAGTACTTGAAAAGATCACGAGTTTTGGTGCCATAGAAACAGAGGCTCCCAACCGACAGGTGCGTGATCTCAGAGAAGCCGCTTTCTCTCACTGAGCCTCAGTTTCTTCGTGTGTAAAATGGACTAATACCTCTAGGGTATTAGAGGCATTCAGTGAGAAACTCTATGTGAAATATCTAAAACAGAGCCAAAAGCAGTGAGTATTCCATAAAAGGAGTTATTTCAGCAAGATTATTAGAAGCTACAATTTTTCCAGCCCAGAAAGGGCTCCATCTCCTTTCCCAGCTACAAGTTATTTCTCCAGGAAGCCCCTACTGACTGTGGAGCAAGTTCCCTGCTATCAGCACACTTGACACTGCTCTGGAAATGTGTCTACTTCCCTCACCATGCATTGACTTCGCTGCCTCTGCCCATTGACGTGGAACCTTGAAGCCTCCAAGAGGACTGGCCCATCTCCCTCACCCGCTGCATGTCTACAGCCCCTGCTTGGCAGACTGCGATTTCAATAAGCACTGAATGAATGAATGAATGAATGAATGAATGAATGACAGCCATTAGATGACTTCCCAGAGAAGCAAAAATAAAATATCAGGAAAGTAAAAAGGTAGCTGCATTAGTTATTTTGCATTTATTATAGCTGCCTTTAAGCCTCTTTGAATTACTTCCCAAAAAATATGAAATCTGTTCCCAGTAGCTCCAGCACTTTGTGCCCCTCACCCCAAGAATGCTGCACATCCTTATTATATATTATATTCATTAGAATAATTGTATAACTAGTCTAATTATAATCTTATAATTATTTCTCAATTCCTCTTCTGACTTCATGATTATAAAATATGTTTATCGTGTTTGACACCCTTCTAATTCTTAAAGTGACCATGTATTAATCCCAGAGATCCTAAGGAAAAAGGAAATCCTTGGTAGAAAAGTGTTAATAATTTGCTAGCTGCACACTGTACTTTTACCTCTGAACACCAGGTGGGTAAAGAACATTACTCATGTTTTTTAATCTAAGAATTTCTTACATTTTTATGGCCTGCTCTTTGGGCTTATTTATGATGGTTTGGGACAAAGAGACAACCTTTGTCATTATGATTTATACTCTTCCAACAAAGGAAACACAGAAAGAGATAAACCCAAATTAAATCATGGCAGTAGATAAGAAAACCCAAATTAAATCATGACACCAAAAAAAAAAAAAATCCAGTGAAGGTAAGTAATGCGCTGACTGATTATTTAAAATCAAAACAAAGAGGAGTATAGACAAGCACTATGGACAATGAAAAGATGGACATTTTCAAAACCTAAGCTACAAAATCTCGCACTTATACCAAATAAAAAACTTTCAGATGCCTTGCATCCATCCTATATTTGCAGCATTCTGAAATAATGCCCAGCCATTAGAATATTTTATATACCTTATTTTAATCCTACCTAGCTTGTGCTTTTGTTTAGAAAATGAAACTAAACTTGGTATGGTAAAGTGTTAGTGACTGGCGGCAGACAGCCAATATTTTCCTATCTTTTTTTCTACTAATGCCATGTATCAAAAAATTACCTGGACATCTGTTTTCATTTTTAGTGATGCTTTTAAATTTCTTGATGGTTGAGTGCCAATTCTAAAACTTGATTGGATTTCAAGGAAATACAATTGCCTTAGAAACAAAGAAATTGAGAGAATTGAGAGGGAAAACTTTTGCCTTCAAGCTTCCCAATGTAAACACTGTTGATGACAGAGGCCAAAGGTTGCTTCAGTAGAGCAGGTGGTCAATGGTGCATGCCCAGCCATCTAAATATGACACAGCTCACTCAACCCAACCCAACATGAATGGCCAGCCCAGGAACTCTGAATAAAAGGAGTTAATATGACCACAGGACTAACAGACGCTAACTAAAGCCACCTAAGACACAACTGTCCCATTACTATGACCACACAATCACACAGAACATTATCTTCGATTATATGTAGAACTGGAAGCAGAGGAAATACTGAAATTGGACTTGCAGGCAATTAGTCTAGCCTTAATTTCACATCACAAACTCAAAACTGTCAAAAAACCCTGGATGTGAAAGTCATTTGTGAACTATTTCCAGGCTCCGTAAAGAAGGCATAAAGAATTAGGTCCACACACAAACACACTTGCAAATATTTATGACTTTTTTTAATTTGGCTCTGCCTGTACCCCCTACATTTTGTGAAAGTAGTTACCTGCTGCATCCCCAAATTTGTTTATCATTACCTTATAGTTTGGTGGGGAAAACGCACATATTTGACGATTTTTTTACTTCCTCCACATGCAGATTTCCACGAAAATTAAGTTGAAGTGCAGTTGAAAGAAGGGGCACAGTGTAGTTAGTTATCTTCTAAACTTATCAGGAAGCTTACTTATCTGACTTACTTAAGGTTCACTTTGATTCTTTTATTTCTAGAACCCAAGGTCCCCAGCTTGTTTTCAAAATTAGTACATGTAAATCTTTTCTTGCATCAAAATCCTACCCAATGGACATGTTTTACTTCCAAAGTTCATTCAGAAATTATTTATCTGGGAATACAGACTTGTGGTTACCAGTGGGGTGGAGGGTGGGAAGGGATAGACTGGGATTTCAAAATTGTAGAAGAGATAAACAAGATTACACTGTATAGCACAGGGAAATATACACAAAATGTTATGATAAATCACAGAGAAAAAAATGTGACAATGAGCGTGTATATGTCCATGAATGACTGAAAAATTGTGCTG